CCCAAATCAAATAAAAACAACTCCAGGTATGGTATGTGGACCCAAGCCACGTTCAGGGACTTCTATGTGGGCCGTGATTTGGCAGGTCAAGGAATGTGACCGGACCCATTTTATCCGGCCCAATTAGATCCTTGGCCCACTTGGGGTGGTCCTGGGTCTATGAGGGAATTAGGATAATGTGGGTTATGGAGGAAATTAGATAGAATAAAACCTATTAGTCCATTACCTCGCACTGAGACACAAGGCAACATTTCTCCACGTCTTTCTTTTCCTTATTTTCGTTCAATCCCTTCTGCCTTCTATTTCAAATAATTTAACTACGCTTGCAAGTGCACAAGTCGTACAAGTAATAAAGTGGTCCGAAGACCGATATCGTCCCACGAGGATTGATGTTAAGAATGTAAACTAACTATTGTGAATATCATATCTTAACTTTATCTAAGCGATCAAATTTAGATGTGATAAACTCAAAGAAAAACTAAAATAAAGGAAAACTAAATCAAAAAGAAAGATGACAGTAATTAATAACACGTGTTGAAATTAAAACAGAAAATCAATATAATGAAAATGCTGGGGTCTTGACTTCACTCTATTACGATTATGTTTCTCCGTAGTAATGTGCCTAACCTAACTTAACATTCTCAAGAACCTAGAGTGATGTGTATCCTTATACCCTCTCTCGAGTGCCGCATAAAGAATGTGTAGGTGATATCAAGCCTATATCTCTATACAACTATTCATCCCTACCTTCATTAAGTTCCACTCTAGAAACAATTCCTGGAATTCCACTTCTCAATTTCACAACCTAAAATTATTTCGGTTACCTAGGCAATGTTTATCTCTCGATCTCACACCAACCTAAGTTGTTCTACCCGTTTCTTGATTGCTTGAACGTTCCCCTCTCGAGTATTAATCCTGACAATCTAAATCTGCCTAATTCAAAATCTCATAAAGCATAGCAATATGTAAATCATAGATTTGGCAGCAATAATTCAAAATAGAACACGAAAGAAACAAAGAGCTTTAATTAAATGCACATTAAAACGTTGAAACAATAATCACAATAGAGATTCATCTAAACCCTAATTAGCCACACATCATGTGGCTCACAATCTCCAAATAATATTCGAAATCTAGAAAAATACAAAAAGAAAGAGAAGAAGATAACGAAGAACGCTTAGAATTCTTGAAAAATCCCTCCAATTTCCCTCTGGAATCCTCTCCAATTCATATTTTCTTCCTTTGCAATTTTTGTTTTCATTTTTCTCCTTCCCCCTTCAGTTTTCGGCCCTCTCTTCCTTATATTCCACGTCCAGCACATCCCCAAGAAGCCAATTCTAACTTTCCATAAAAATCCCCGCACCAAACTAGGGCAAAATGCGTGTTTCTAATAAAATCGGGTAACTCAGGCGACATATCCCCTAGAATAGGCGACATATCGCCTAAAGGCAGTGACATATCTCCATAAAGGAGGCGACATATCGCATCCCTCGCTGGTCCTTCGCACAGGTTTGCTCGATTTTGCTCATTTTCGAGTCGCATCGCCATATGAAGGTGCCATATCGCCTCGTTCTCTGTCTTTTTGATCCAAAATGCCTCAAAACTCAGCGATTTCACCCTTTCCTACACACTCAAGGGAAAGTCATCAAATCCACATAACAACTTGAGGAAAAACACGCCGAAACTAGCTAAAGGAGTAACGAATGAGCGCATAAATTACGCACTCATCACCTTCCCAGGGGGTCAAGGCAGTCCATTCCTCAAAAACCATAAAATACCATAGCACATACGAGTGGGGGGAAAAAAATCTCTGTTCACCCCGCTGCCACTCCCTGACCTTGCCCAAAATGGCCATAAAGCCACGCCTGGCTGCCACCCCCTGAACTCGCCCAAGTGGCCACGAAGCCACGCCTGGCTGCCACCCCCTGACCTTGCCCAAATGGCCACAAAGCCACGTCCGGCTGCCACTCCCTAACCTCACCCAAAATGGCCATGAAGCCACGTCTGGCTGCCCAGCGACCTGTTACATTCCCTTCTGGGGTAAGCATTCTCCTGGGAGCATCGAAAGTTGCCCCTGAATCCCATAGGAAATGTCTTACCGACGGGGACCTCTGGGGGGATTTCAGCCAATATCCAAAATGGCTGGCGGGAAAACTTCCCTCCCTTTTTTTTACCACAAACCTGGCCTATAAATACCGTGGCCCAAACCTCTCAAAAAACACAACAAAGATACACGGGAAAAGAGGGAAAAGGGCAGATCAAAGTATTCTGTTCTAACTCCTCTGATTTTCTGGTTTCTAACAGAGCGACCGACGGAGAATCATATTCTCCATAACTTCTGGCGGAGTCCCTCTAGAACAAGTTTCTAGGCGTTCTCCCCATTGGAAGTGGTAACAAAAGCTCCTGAAACACCAAAAGCCCTTAACCGTAACCCAACACCTCGAGATTGACTGTTTCACTCCCTTTACACACTACGTCCGTCGGGATCGTTTTATTCAGAAACAGAGAAATATAACTCCGTTACCCACTTAGAAACCTCCTCCATAAACTGGTCACGTTCCTCTCCCACACTATACGCTCACTGGGAGATCCCCATCGAAAATTCCTCAACCTCACGGAGCTGAAGCCGCAACGGGTGTCGCCCTCGGATACTGTCTTCCTCGGGGACATCCGGGTTTAGCCAACCTCAGCCGGGGCCAACCTCATCATCCCGGCCACCGTCGATGCCAGGAAGGACCCTCAGCAGCTCTCTGACCACGTCAGTGGGTGAGTGCACAGTCATAGTGAACCAAACGAGGCCACGAGTTTCGCACCTTCCACGTCGACAGGCCCTCTCCAAAAGAGCCCCAACAATGATGAAAAGTTTTAATAGGGTATATGGGTGGGATTTTATTTGTCTTTTCATTGTGAACGCATAAAAAAAGGATCATCTCAATCGGAATTAAAACGAAAAAGTTATAGCGTTTTTAAGAATAAAAAAAATATGGTTTATTAACTTGAGTTTGAGTTTAAGAACTTGAGTTGAAGGGGAGACTTGAATTTAAATTTTAACCCTAAACTCAAGTTAAAATTCAAATTAAAACTCAAGTTCAAACTCAAATTTTATAAAAGAACATGAGTTTGAATAAATTTGTAACTTGAGTTTAAATTTTTTTTAAGTTTAAGTGCAACGAACAAGCCTTAAGTTTGTTTAGTTCAAGCTCTGGCATTTTTGTCATTTCATTTTTAAAGTTAAAAGAGTTAAGACCAAGAGACAATTAAATTTGTAACGAGTGCTTAACGACAGGCCAATTTGCCTCGAGTTGATAAAAAGTAAGAACAATAATATTTTAAATGCAGTTACAAAAATGCACTTTGAACACTACTTATTATTGAATAAATGATTAAGGGGGCGTTTGGAAAGGGGATTCGTGCTATGATTCGAATCATAATTCGTGGCTCGTTACAATATTTTTTCTCATAAAAAACACACGTAAAACGAGAATAATTCTAAATCATAATTCTGAATCTATGAACCAAACGTCCCCTAAATATATTAACTTTAATCAAACGTTTCCATAATTTTTATCAAGAATATTTTAATTTGAAATTATCTAAGTTTTACTTATTTATTTGCATATATTGAAAAGCAGAACAAAAAGCCATGCAACTAATCCACAAAAGCAATGAAAACAAGCCACAATCCGAGCCAAGCCAAACCACGAGTGTGAATTGGCAGACACCACGTCCGTAGAAGTGGGTCCTAGCTCAAGACCCCTTTTCTGCCAACACCTTAGCCTATTCGCTAATCAAAGTGCGTCACGTGAAAGAATCGCGTTCAACTCTCTCTCCCTCTCGCTCAACATGGATCAAACCTCTCCACGATTTCGTGCTGATTAAAATTCACTTGTCTCCTTAAATCAAGCAGAATTAATTATCGGATCTCTCCAAATTTAGTAGTATTCTTATTTTCAAATTTAATTGTCATATTTTATTAGTTATTTTCAAAATTCATTTGCAGCCCGAAACTATATAAATTAGAGGCTAACCAAGGCTCTCAAGACTACACTTTACTTTTTTATTTTTCACCATGTTTCTTTTCTCATATTTTCTCTTTAAAATCTGTGAGAATATTCTGCAAGTTAAGTTAGAGTCTATTGGCTAGACTAGAGATTATCTTATATGCATGGTGACCTAGTTTGTGTTTTGATTCGTGAGTTAGGTTGTAACTCTTATACATTCAAGTTGATTAATTTTCTTCCATTATTTTCCGTCTCAATTCAATATTTGTGTGCTGCCAACGTTTATAATTTGCAACCTCAAGTCGCTCTTCATGAAGACTCTGGAATGTGTATAGTGAGAGATAAGATATGAGTCTTACCTCAACAAAGGTATCTCTATAATTGGATTATTATTATTAGTGTCTCTAAATTATGGGGTCATTCACAATTTATCTTCTGAACTTTAAAAACTCACACTATATCTCTTAAATTTTAAATTATTCTCATTTAACCCTTTCTATTATAATATCTTTAAAATTAGATAGAAAAAAAGAGCAATGTAGTTGCGTGACCTTTCTGTTTGAATATTTATTAAAAAATAAACGAATAAAAACTACATGATCACACTTAATCATTTTAATAAAAGTTCTTATAAAAAATTTAAATGACACTAATTCAAAATTTAAATGATGCAATGAGTGTTTTTAAAATTTAACCGGTAAAATCAAAATAACTCTAAAATTTAGAGACTCCGGTAAAATTAACCCTATAATTTTGGAAAAGAAAAAACATGATTAGAACTTTATTTAGTTTGTTGATTTAAATTTTTAATTTAAATTGAAGTATAATTTTATGTAAATTTTTTTATTATAATAAAAAATTAAATATAATTGTGTATCAAAATTTTTTAATGTAATAAATTTTAAATTTTAAACTCAAATTAATAAAATAAAGGGCTATAGTCTATCAAGTTAATGAAAGAGCTCTACCTACGTGCAATCAGTTATAATAATAATCAAATAAACTATTCCGATCTTGTCCAGCTGCTAAATCAATCCAATAGTGTGAAGACGCAAACGATTCCTCTAATTCCACGTTCTCTCGAGCCCCACTGAATATTTAAAGTCAGATTCAATTATTATCTTTTTCTTCTTCTTGTTCCTTCTTCTTCAGCCAGGAGATTCGGAGGGAAAAAAAAATACCTTCATCCATGGCGTCTCTCAGCTTTACCCAGATCAAAACCAAGAACCCAGTTGCTGAATTCGCAAAAGCTCATCCAAAAACTGGTTTGCTTCGATCAAGAAGAGTCGGGTTCAGGGTTTTGGCCTCTGAGACCCAGAAAGAGCCTGATCTAAGTGTCACTGTCAATGGATTGCATATGCCCAACCCATTTGTGATCGGGTCGGGCCCACCCGGGACTAACTACACCGTCATGAAGAGGGCCTTTGATGAGGGTTGGGGTGCTGTGATTGCCAAAACTGTAAGTTTTTTTAATTATTGATTATATATATATATATTTGTGTGGATGTGTATTGTGCTGTTTCGATGCTGTGGAAATGAGAGAAGAAATTGACTAAAAATGAGGACTTGGATTGTGTTTAGTGCTTTTAGCTTTTTGTTTGACCATCATTTTTAAAGTCGTTCTTCATAGAAATGGAGGCCCCAATTCAGATTTGGGTCCCAATTTGATTGTTGCTCCTGTTCTTTAACTATTACCAACCTTGGTAAATCTCAATCTGAATCTTCAATAGTCTGCGGAGAACAAATGATAAAGTCTTGGTGATTTTTTGACTAAACAGTTTGTACATAATGATGTTACAATGATCACCACTGCATTCTTCTTTTTCCAAGTTACTCCATTAAGAATATGAATGGAAGGACGAATATTTGAGAATCTTGATCTCTGCTCAAGACTGTCAATTTTGTTGATAACAGGAGTTATAGATATAACTTTCTTGATTTGCATTTGAAATCTTCAACATTAAAGTTTGGATCCTATGTTGCCTGTTATAATGAGTGACAAAATGATCTTGGATTGGTCAAATGGTAGGAAGGTTTTGGTTTCTCTCTCTCTCTCTCTTTTCATTATTATTATTATCTATATATATATGCTTTAATCTGAGAAATGTAAACGAAGTGAAGTGGATCTAAAGTATTTGTCCGTTTTTGTCCCCAGGTTCATAGGTCACTGTTTGATCCCAGTTTACTCTTTTGATAGGTGTCACTTGATGCATCAAAAGTTATTAATGTCACTCCTCGATATGCTCGGTTACGAGTGGGTGTTAATGGCTCCCCCAAAGGACAAATTATTGGGTGGGAGAACATAGAATTAATTAGTGATAGGCCTCTTGAAACCATGCTAAAGGAATTCAAGCAACTTAAGGAAGAATATCCAGATAGAATTCTGATTGCTTCAATTATGGAGGAATACAATAAAGCTGCCTGGGAAGAGCTTATTGATCGAGTAGAGCAAACTGGAGTTGTAAGCTGGAGTTTTACTTAAAAGTTAACTATGTTCGTTTAACATGCGAGTTTTGTTGCCTTAAACATTCAGATATTTTCTCTTTAGGATGCATTCGAAATCAATTTTTCTTGCCCTCATGGTATGCCAGAGCGCAAGATGGGTGCCGCTGTTGGTCAAGATTGTGCACTTTTGGAAGAGGTTTGTGGGTGGATTAATGCGAAAGCTACAATTCCTGTTTGGGCAAAGATGACTCCTAACATCACAGATATCACCCAGGTAAATTTCACCCTTGTTTTAAGTCATCACCTGTTTTTCTCTATGCAGCTTTAACTTATGTTTCTGAATCTTAACTTTTATCACTTAGAAAAGGAGGAATGAAATTTTCACATTTTTGTATTGCATTTGGCTTTTTCTTTTTGTTTCTAAAAAATGGAATTCTGGTTGCACTTCAAATCTGAGTGACGTGTAATGTGGCCCATTAATTTTGTTTGCGCAGATTGTTCTACATCATTGCATTGCACCAAAATATGATGCTTTATTATGTTAACAAATACAGAACATGATTCTCGTGATCATAGATGTAATTGGAAATGGCCACCTCTATGCAATAAATTCTAAATTCTCACTATATTGAAGTTAAAGCTCACCTTCTTTCTTGAGAGCAAAATCCAGCTGGTCAAAATGCTAATAATCTGCTTCAAAGTTGGAGGGGTTTTATGGTTAATCTTTTTTTCTTTTTTCCTTTTTTTTTGTGTGGTTTTTTTTCCTTTTCTAAAAGACGTTGTGGTTTATCTGATTATTCATAAGTCAGCATTAATTCCTATTAGGATGACTTATTCACGGCTATTTCTGCAATATATATGCAAAAAGCAGAAGAAAGACATTTTCACACTATTTTCCTTTTCTGATTTTATTAATTAAGAACAGATCATAAGGAACCTAAATTAACAAAAGTAGGTTATTACCAGCTTAGGATCCTTTTTTATGTGATTATATTCTCATCGATTATCCTCATTTTTACAGCCAGCTAGGGTGGCTCTAAGCTCAGGATGCGAAGGTGTAGCTGCAATTAACACAATCATGAGTGTAATGGGAATTAATCTGAACAATTTACGTCCTGAGCCTTGTGTGGAGGGGTTTGAAGCCAAAACTTCAAAAAACATATCATTGTTTTTTACTGCCTCGTTTATCTCAGGAAAGTTTATGTGCTTAAATTCTCTTTCAGGTACTCAACTCCTGGTGGCTATTCTTCCAAGGCAGTCCATCCTATTGCGCTTGCAAAAGTGATGAACATTGCGAAGATGATGAAGTCAGAATTTAATGACAAGGACTACTCGCTCTCAGGCATTGGTGGTGTTGAGACAGGTAGTGATGCGGCTGAGTTTATTCTTCTTGGAGCAAATACTGTTCAGGTAAGGATAAAAAATCTAGAGAGTTTCTATTTCCGTGGTATAAATGGTTTGTGCACACACCACACGCGCATGTGCTATATTTCTTGAAATCTCCATAGAAGTGTAATTTTGTTCTTGCGATGTCACTTAGTTCTTCTCGCTTCCAAGTAATGATATCACCATATAGGCAGCTCTCATTAAAACTTTATTTTTTTTTTTCTTTTTCTTTTTTTTTTGACGTTTTCGTTTTCCATAAGGATTTCAATGGTAGTCTTATTTATATTTGAGAATGTGAGACGTTTACATTTAGTCATGTTATACTGAAGTTTTATGAGATTGAGGTCATTGAATTTTGTTTGTAGGTCTGTACTGGGGTTATGATGCACGGCTATGGCCTCGTGAAGAAAATATGTGAAGAGCTGAAAGATTTTATGAGATCGCACAATTTCTCATCAATCGAGGATTTTAGAGGGTATGCACTTGAAAAAAAAAAAATATATATATATATATATATATATAATGACATTAATATTCAATTCTTTTACGTTTTCAAGTGTGGCATTGCTTATGGCAATGCTGCATCTAAGAAATTTTATCACAAACAAGAAAGCATAGTCCTCATCTTTTCTTTGTTTTTTTTTTTTTTTTTTTTTTTTTTTTTTTTTTTTTTTTTTTTTTTTTTTTTTTTTTTTTTTTCTAGGGCTTCCCTTGAATATTTTACCACTCACACTGATTTGGTAAGAAGGCAGCAAGAAGCAGTCAAGCAGAGGAAAGCCGTTCGGAAAGGTTTGCAGTCTGACAAAGATTGGACTGGAGATGGCTTTGTTAAAGAGACTGAAAGCATGGTCTCTAACTGACTTACAGAACCATTTGTGAGCCTTGCTGTGAAAAGGGTCTGTTCATCCGTTGTTTAGTTAAGAATGTAAGCTCTGTTCCTTTTTAAGTTTGAGTTTGGAAAAGGAAGCTCATTTTGTGAATATTTCAGTTAATAATCTCATTTCTCGTTCAGATAATTGGACATGTTACTTCAAATAAATAATGGAGAGCAATTGCATATATTATTTATAATGAGACTATTTGAATAGAAAATGAGGTCTGCGATCAAAGTTATCTAATAATGCTATTTCCTTGTTGAATAATACGAATGCTTGGCTGCATGTGAAATGCATGATAAAGATGATAAAGATTCACTTACAAATGAAACACGTTTCTTTTTATTGTTATTATTATTATTATTATTTTTTGTCAGTGAAAAGAGGTACTGTTGAAAAAATGGCAAATCAGTTGTGCAGCAGAATTATAAAAGTTTTATTTTTCAAAACCACCTGTAGGATCTTGTTTATAATGTTATATAACATAAATATCGAAGATTTAAATTATACATTTAGGAGATGGGCAACTGCACTTTTGAAGAACTACAACTTACAAAAACAGTAATCGGAAGATTTTTTGGAAGAGCTTTAATTAACTGGTCTTCTCTGCTATCTGTTTTTCACAATTGGAGTGCGAGTGAGCATATGTCGTTCAATCTCCCTTTAGTATCTTGAACTCCTTCAAACCATAAGAGAGTAAAAAAAAAAAAAAAAAAAATCTTGAGATTTAACAATTTTCCTCCCAAGAAACTCTTACCTATAACCTCCTGAAAGTCTCTTAAATGATCTGATAAATAATGAGACTTAAGAGGCTATTTATAAGGTTTAGAAAGTTATATTCCCACACCAAATAGGTTCCCTAAATTAGATTTGCATAACAAATTGCATAAAATTGGTTTTGCCACGTCAACATTGTAACAGGTCGACTGGTTCCAATGATATTATAAACTCATCGGTTGACCGGTCAGTGCATAAAAACTCCGTCAAAAGTTACGTACCGATTGACTGGTGGGTAAATTGGTCCTAACGTACAAGTCGACATAAGGGTAGATTTATCGTGCATTGATTTTTGTGTTTATCTTATTTATTTAATATGAGAAACTTGCACAGTCTAATTATTAATTCAAATAATCCAATATACAAGTTACATGATTTAAGCGATCATATAATAGTATTCTCATATTAAATAAAACTATAAATATTAATTCAATCAATTTATCTTGAATAAATTAAATAATTAAGTCAATTAATAAATTAGTTATTAATTAATCACTGATCTTACAATCCGATTTTGAAGCTGTTGTGAAAGTAACATAAGTTATTAATATGTAGGAAATACGTCATATCATATCAGGAAAAGTTCATCTCACAGTTATAAACTGTATTGCTCTTCCATAAAAGTCTAGAGCTAGACTCTCGACTATATAACATATTTATATAGCTCTTAGCAATCATCCATGACTTTATTATATTGTGTATGATCTCTATAAGATATTCATAATCGACTTGAGATCAATTTCTATTTTACTTTCTGATTATATTTATCTTATGTTCCATTACCATTTCATTGTAATAACCACTATTCGTACCAATACAAATAGTAAATTATTAGATAACACAGAGTAGTACAATAGCTGAGCGCTCATGTTTTATATTCCTTGAATAACATCATAAGGGGATATTATTGACTCTTTTATAAGAGCTATGAACTCTCTATTTATGAATAATAAATCTACACACACATGAGTCATATCTCCAATGTACAAGTATGTGTACCTTCAACGATATCAGGATGTCACCCTTTGATACATCAAAAGATACTAGTCATGTATATGAGTTTATCATTCATATCAAGATTAAGACAGATAAAATATAAATTGTCGAAAGTGAATTATTTTATTCAAACGGAATTATTAATTAAATCCAATATATATTCCACTAATAGAACTATATCTGTCTTGACCCATGGAGTCTCACTCCGACGACCGAAACAAGTTATCATCGTCAGGAAGCAGACAACATAACAACTTAATATGAATAAAATGCTCAACTTTATTCAATCGATTACAGATCTTATAATTTATAATAGCATCTTTGGATACATGTTTTTCGCGTATTTTTCATATTATATACACGATCTAAAGACTTAAAGCGACAGTCTCAAATTTCTAATTTAATTATCATACATTCAACTAATTCAAATATAAAAAGATAATACTTGATATATGAAATAAATAAATAATTTTTTATTAATAATTAAAATATCTAAATAATATCGTTACGTTTATTCTTAAAGGACATAAAAGCTAATCTATACATACTATGGGTTTACACGTATAAATGATGGCTTCTCATTTCATTTTTATCTTGTTAGAGTTAGGACTTGAACGGTTATAGATGACGAAAAAGAAGGCAAATCAAGGCATTCTCTTTTTGGTTTTTTTTTTTTTTTGGGGGGGGGCAATTTCACCAATTATTTGATTTGTCTTGTTTATTTTTCTCTGGCGGGATATGCATAGCACGTCTAAATCACATGGTTTTGACAAAACGAAAAGGTGTATTCACATGAGGTGCACCACTGTCTCCTGTTACGTGGGCCAAATCATATCAACTTGCCATTTATAAAAAAAAATGTTGATTTGAGCAGTTTATGTATTTAGAATTATGATTCAGAGAAAAAATATTGTAAAGAATTATGAATCATAATTCAAAATCATGGTCGAATATAGGAAATAAACGTCCTTGAATATTTTTTTAGTTAATATAATTATTTAACTAAAAGAATATTAATTAAAAATAAAAGATAAAAATTTAAATTTATATAATTTAAAAAATATTTATCTTTTTTTTTTCTAATTTGTTTATTTATATTTTTTCTTTCTCGCACGGTTAAACTAGCGCACTCTAAACAACACTCGGCTAGTCGTGTACTTTTTGGCTTGTTTTAGAGATAGTTGTGAAGATAATTGTTAAGTGAAGAAAGGTGGCTCAAGTTGATGTGTGAAAAATAAATAGATCAATATTATAGAAAATAGTAATAAAGGAAATTACTTAAATACAGTTCTTAGTTTTTTTAACGTTTTTGCTCCTTTTTTAGAACTAAAAAGGCATTCCTTAGATTTGAAACTTGTTTTCAATTTCATCCCTAACACGCTCTGTGTACGGAAAGCTAATAATAAAGATAAAGATTGCTCTTATTTAGACTTTATTTATGAAAAATATTTTTTTGTTGAGGAGAACTTTTAAAAAATTCTTATACTGTGGGTCAAATAGTTCTCTTTTTGTCTTTCATTTTCATTCACAATGTGCGGCAGAAATAAAATTGAAATAAGTTTTAAAATATTAGACTCTAAAAATAGAGGGACAAATGGAGATGATATTTAAAATTAGGGGTATAATAAGGTGTGAAAATATGTTGTCTTATTTCAGACCAAGGTAAATGGAGGAGTGTTTATTTTACATTCCAGATAAAACGGAGACAATAGTAATATGGGATTTCAGCATAAATTAACCTTTTTGAAGAATTCTTCTTTCATAAATGGTCGAAGTTTTGTAAGCTTACAAAAATGGTCGTTTTAATTAACGTAGCGGTCCATCATTAATTGACTTAGTGATCCATCATTAATTAATTTTAATTTATTACTGATTAACTTGATGATTCTTTATTATTAATCAATATGAGTTAATAATTATCCAAAATCAATTAATAATGAATCAAAAAAAAAAGTTCGGCCATTTTTGTAAAATAAAAAGGTTAGCTATTTATGAAAATTGTAATAAAAAAATGGTCATTTAGCTAATTTTTTTCACAAATATATTAGCTTATATAATTATATTGACTTCAGAAAGTGAATAAAGACATATAAAGGAGAATGATTGAGACTAATCTTAATCTTAACATTTTAATCTTATCTTATAATAACAAACATAAAAGAGCCAAAGTTTATTTTTAGCCATCCTTAGTTTATTTCTAGCCATCCTTCTCCATTTGCTACGTGCCAACTCTCATTCAATTTTTTTTCTTAATTTTAATCTTAACTTCTTATTTTAGGAGAATGTTAGTGTTACTCTATCTGTCACTCTTCGTATTCACTACATATGGACTCTAGTAAAATGATATATTATTACTTAAACAAGAAAATGATATAGTAAAGTCATGTGTCAAATATGTTGGTTTTTAAAACGATTTCGGTGCAAAAGCGTGGTAACTCAGATCGAGTCTGAACAAAAATTTTTATAAAACTTTCAAGAACGGTATAGATTATATTAATTTATAACAAATAAATTAATCTAATTAATTTAGAACATGAATTAAACAACCCAATGCCCTATTCACAGATCACCAAGAATCTTCCTTGTCAATTCCTTGATTCTACAAAGAACGTGTGTGTGGGCGCACCTGAAATAAGAGAAAACAATTATCATTCTCTCACAAGTCTTCCATGAACATCAACATATGTACAACGTGGAACTGGGAATGGAAGAACTTTTCTCCCTGTTTTCTCTCTAAAAACCGGCCACTATAAGAGGAGAGTAAAAATTGTGTTTTCTAATTTTTTATAACCTTCTATTTATAGAGTTCTAGGAGAGCTCTTTTCATTAGCTAAAAGATAAAATAATATAAGATAAAAGATTAATTTAACTTTAAATCCTATTTAAAATCAAATAAATTACTAGTTGCCTTTTGGAACAATTTTTCTCTTTCATGCACCAGATAAATTCGGCAACCACACTACAACAAAAATGCTTATTTCCGACAACTGAATGTTGTCGCAAAAGAGTACGTTGTCGTCCGTAATATTATATTTGCGATGATCTGTCGTCACAAAAAATTAGACGCACGCAATATATTTGTGACGACAAAGTTTTGAGATGTCGTCACTAATACATTAGCGATGACTGTCGTCGTGAATAAGTCATCACGAATGTTCCGTCGAACATGTCGTTGATGATGACGTGTTCAGTTATATTTGCGGCAATATATGTCGTCGCAAAAGGGTTAGATGTCCTCGCTAGTGATTTAGACTATTTGCGACGACTTTTTTCAGCCCCTAATTTCCTAATAATATTAATTATTAATATATACATTAGAAGAAAATTTAATAATAAAATAAATCAATAAAATTGATATTTGCTAA